GCCACATAACCCAGCTGTGAGTGGCCCAGAACTCTTTTACAACTAAACCCTTTACTTATAAAGTTCATCACCTTGCACTTACAAACACTAGGTTTTTTAAACATGTGTTAACATCAACATCTTTGTTTGTCCTAAAGGACAATGGACTTCTTAGGTTTTCCTTCACAAAGGATTTGTGGGAAAACAGGGGGGATCAGGCCCAGTTATCAGGGATTCATAAAGAGTACACTCTGCTTGACCAACCTGATCTCCTTCTATAATAACGTGGCTCACCTGGATGATGAGAGAAAGTCTGTAGACATTGTCTGTTTGGACTTGAGTAAAGCATTTGATGCTGTCTCCTGCAGCATTCCCCTGGAGAAATTGACTGCTCATGGCCTGGATATGAGGATTCTTTGCTGGGTTAAAAACTGGCTGGATGGCAGAGCCCACAGTGCTGGTAAATGGTATCACATCTAGTTTGCAACCAGTCACTAGTAGTAGCCCTCAGGGCTCGGTGTTAGGGCCAGTATTGTTTAATATCTTCACTGGTGATCTGGATGAGGGAATTGAGTGCATTTGAGCAAATCTGTGGAGAATACCAAGTTGCTTGGGAGTGTTGATCTATTGAAGGATAGGGAGGCTCTGCAGAGGGATCTGGACAGGCTGGATCAATGGGCCGTGGCCAATGATATAAGGCTAAATAAGGCAAAGTGCCAGGTGCTGCATTTGGGCCATAACAACCCCATGCAATGCTCCAGGCTTGGGGAAGAGTGGCTGGAAAGCTACTTGGTGGAAAAGGACGGGTGCTGATTGATGGCTGAACATGAGCCAGCTTGTGCCCAGGCAGCCACAAAGGCCAGCTACATCCTGGCCTGTATAAGAAACATCATAGCCAGCAGGGCTGGGGAAGTGATCATCCCCTGTACCCAGCACTGGTGAAGCCACACGTCAAATCTTGTGTTCAGTTCTATGTCCCTCATTACAAGAAAGACACTGAGGTGCTGGAGCGGGTACAGAAAAGGGCAACAAAGCTGGTGAAGGGTCTGGAGAATAAGTCCTAGGAGGAATGCCTGAGGGAACTGGGGTTGTTTAGTCTGGAGAAGGCTCAGGAGGGACCTTATCGCTCTCTACAACTACCTGAAAAGAGGTGGTAGTGAGGTGAGCGTTGGTGTCTTCCAAGTAACAAGTGATACAACAAGAGGTAACAGCCTCAAGCTGCACCAAGGGAGGTTTAGACTGGATATTAGGAAATATTTCTTCACAGCGAGGGTGATCAGGCACTGGAACAGGCTGCCCAGGAAAGTGGTAGAGTCATCATCCCTGGAAGTGTTAAAACACTGTGTATATGAAGCCCTCAGTGACATGGTTTAGTGGTGGTTTTGGCAGCCCTAGGGTAATGGTTGGACTTGATTTTAAAGGTCTTTTCCAACCTATTTGATTCCATAACTCTATGATTCTAGTACATGTCAGTGGCATTCTTAAAACCAAACTAGTTCTTAAGAAGAGACACTGAAACTTACTCCAGATGCAAATTGCTGATCTAAATGAAGTTAACGTCAAAAATCCCAATTCTGTTGAATCATGTTTTCCAAAGGAAATTTAAGGATTTAAGCAGCAACTACAGGATAGAGGAAGCTTCTCTTTTGATCTTGAGGATTTTTTGCTCATTTAGATTTGCCGCTTAACACACACATACACAACAAAAAATAAACACATAAAGTAGTTATAAAATACAGCACAATATGTATAACACATGACATACACTGTTAGTGATCTAAAACATCTGTAGATTTTAACTGGAAAGAGAATATTTGAAAAGCTCTTAATTTCCTTCATTTTTATTTGCTAAATTTCTGCACATCATCAGTAGAATTAGCCATAAATGAGTAATAGATAGATGTTTCTGCTACTTCAGTTTGATGTAAAGGCATTTATTCAAGCCCCTAAATATTTGAATGCAAGGATTTTTGCATCATATATTTAAATGAATCCTCTTTAGGATTATTTTAGAATAATAAAACAAAGTGCTTTATCATACAATAAATTCTTAACGTAAACACTTACTGCAGCTTTGAGTAAACGACTTTTACAAAGTTTTCTCCACTAGGGGTCTCTAGAGAAATACAAGAAAATTCAGCGTAGCTGGTACCTTAGACATCTCTTCTTTACACTATTTACATTTAGTGGAAGATGAAGATCAACACTTGTTCTATGTCTGTTTCATTTCTTTGCATACATTTCTTCTGCTGTGGATAATAAAGAGTCCTATTACTACAATAATAATTAACACCCATGAGGTGATTTAATGTATTTTGTAATTAGAGTTTCAACATTTATAATTAGAATTTCAACATCACATCCTTTAGGAAGAATGGCATTGAAAAAAGCATTTACCCAAAGGAAGAAAAAAAAACTAAGGTACCTACTTGCTGGGGTAGCCACCATTTCTAAATGAAGAACAATTTAAAATAAATAAAGTAGCAGTGAACGCAACTGAAGAAAGCATTGACTAATCTGGACAGTACTTTAGCTGGAAAATTATAAAATTATTCATCTGGTGTGCTGTTCAGCACGGTATTATATCACAGACAAAACAGAGCCTGTCTTCATTACTTGTTCCTATATCCAGGCTAAACATAAGCTTAAATGAGGAATAGGTTTTATGTAGTTGGATTGTTTTATCTTCTTGATATTCTTCTTTAACATGATGATATCATCAGGGTATCTGTAAGGTTTAATATGGATCATCCTTTAATTTGGCTAATTAATAGGACTTCATATTTGCATATTTCTTCACCACCGGTTTCTGTGCTTCCCTATTACTTCTATCACCATGTTTGGTAATATGTTTGACATTTAACAATCCAGATTGTTTCACCCCTGAAGTGGAAAGGGGAGTTTCATAATATTAATACATAGAATTTGGAAGCTGAAAGGTCTTAGGATCACTATACATTCCCTTTATGCCCAATTCCTACCGTAATTAAAAAACAGTGGAAACAGAGAAGAGTAAGGTATTATTAATAAGAACTACCAGTTCAAGAATTATAGCCTACTGATCACAGGAAACAAATGGAGTTTGCTGTGATTTGAGGTTGGATCATTAATCAGAAAGCTGAAAAAATATGGAAATATGAATACTTGCCCTGCTCAGATTTCTCCTTCTTTACCTTGTGGATAGCTCTGGAAAAACGAGGAGCTCAATGCATGCAGCAGCAGTAATTTCTACTCATTTTTTGATCCTAAGTAGTAAGTATGGAACATGAACTAAGTGTAGAAAATGAACTATGCTGAGAGTCGAGCAACTCGGGAGGAAGGCACTCCTGAGCACCCCGGTTTCTGCATTCTGGGACAGTTCTGGGACTTTCTGAAGTTTGTCAAGTTCCTTTAACAGGGTATCTTCTGATTTTTTTTCATCTGTAGACTCAGAACAGCAAACAGTAATCAACTGAGGCAAATTAACGCCTTGAAATGTCATAGCTACACATTTAAAAGGCAATAATTCTCACTTTATTTTTTGCTACAAAGACCAGAAAGAGATAAAAAGCTCTGAGAGGAATAGAAGGAATGCAGCACTGACATTTCCCTCAAAATTGTCATATTATATCACAGAGTTGACCCATCACCTCCATCAGCTGCTCTAGCAGTGAGGGTATTCAGGCTTGGAGTTTTATTTAGCTCACATGCACTGGGTCTAGGGACACCGATACTTGAGCTATTTTGAGTCTTTTGCAGATAGGATGTGCATAGGTCATAGTACAAAAGAAGTACACCTAGTGTTTAACCACATGTCCCTGCTCTTAACCTTAGAAACCATGAAGTGCTATGGTTATGTAAGGCATGATCTTAATCATAAAATGTCCATATACCTATGCCTAGTTAAAACCTTTGCCTATGATGAGATGTAGGAAAGTCCACTGCTTTTTACCCCATTTCAGTCTCTTCTATATGGAGGTGATGGTTCCAGGTGTGTCAGTCCAGTATTGCATTAATGTCTAGTTATACACCTCTGGTTCCAGTTAGTTACTCTGGTTTGGAGGAATAAACTACAGCAAACTACTGCCATTAGGACTCAACTCAATTTATAAAGATCTAGTATCATCTATAGACTATACCTTGAAAGTGTATTCACATACAAACACTTCCATATAAATGCCAGAATTTTTTCCTTTACATAGGAATTACAAACTCCTGGGTTGCAGTCCTAACACCAACTGCTCCTGTACACTTATGATTGCTAGTTCACTGGGGGCTCATGCCCCATTCATGCCAGTCACTTCACCCTTCTGCCTCGGTTCCCTCATTTACATCTTGGACTTATATTTTCCATTTACTTCACAAGACGCTCCCAAAGATTAATTAATAAGTATAGAATGGTACATAATAAAATTTTCAGATACTCGGTGATTTTTCTATGATTACATGAGGATCTGAATAAAAGTGTTATGTAATAACAACTGTTATTAGAATTAAAATGAATCTCTAAGCTAATGCTGCATTTGATTATGTAACTACTTCATAATCAGAATGTGCACTAATAGAGCTTTTTTCCTCAAGACAAAAATGCTGTTCCAGGTTACTAACAGCAGCATTGTTTGGAAATTTCACCAACTTCACTAGATAAACAGCTCATAGATGAGAGCTGTGAGGACATAGAAAGCAAAGCAGTACAGTTCTTGTGGGAAGAGACAACATCGTCCTCTGGGTTTGAACAAAACCACATGTGATGATCACGGCCTCTGAATGCTTCAGTGCTATAAATACAAAACCATAAGTCAAAAGATAAAGCTCAAACTTTCCCTGCTGTTGTGTCAGCAGAATAAAATGTTAAGCCGCCTGTAATAAGGAAGAAATTAGTCAACTAGGGATTAAAAAAATGTTTTATATAGTTAATGTATGGTACTAATTGAGGTTACTGAATCTGGCAGCAAAAGCTGCTGCTCTAAGGAGGGTGGTACGAAGTTTCAGGTTATCCTGTGGATCCCTCCCACCACCTTCCAACATGTATATAAGTTGTCAGCTCTCCAGATCCTTTGCCAGTTCTCTCTTCCAGACTTGCCAGAAGCAACAGAGGACTAGAGATGAAGATCTTTTTCTTATTCACCTTTTCCACTCTTTTGTTGTCTGCTTTTGAACAAGCAGCTGCTTCTGCTCACTATGACAAGATTTTAACTCATAGTCGAATAAGGGCACGCGACCAAGGGTAAGTAACTGGGTTTTATTTTGATTTTAAAAGGGAGCTTGTTAACATTTATCCTCCTGTTCCTTCTCATATTGTATTAAATGCAATTTTTCACTATAAATTTTCACTATCAATCAAGTAGAACTTTCTCAGTTAATTTTTACAGGAATTGTTCTTTAATAAGAAGCTTTCTGGAGAGTTTCAAAAGGAGACAGAATATTGTCAAACTTCATAAAATATGGAAAAATCTAAAATCAACACTTCTTAATGAATAAAATTCATTCATTTTAGAATCACGGAAATTAATTACACTTCACAATTAACATAATGGGATGCCAGATATGTTTAATATATATTTTCAAAAGTTTGAATAGAGTTGGCACTTATCCCACAGTTTTTTGCTGTCTTTATTTCATTCTAATGGAAACCATGAACTCTATTTAATAGCTTTCTAACATGAGAATATATACTGGGAGTCCTTTGTAAAACTTCTGTTCCCGCTAGAGCAATGCAGCAAGCTGCTCAGCAGGGTGTGCAAAGGACAATGCTCCCAAGTCAGACTGCTCAGAAACATGGAAATAATTTTAACAGCTGGTGTCAGGGAGACACGTGTCTAAAGATATTTTCCTGCAGTCTTCTTAAGTAAAAAGCATTCTGTGAATAAGAATTTTTTGCTGTCCTATCTTCCTTTGTTACATTCCCTCAGCCTGCTAAACTCACTCACACTGAGCTTTTTAAATAAAAAAAAAAATCACTGACTTCCCACTGATAGTAAAATATATGTTCTAACTTTTGAGCTTTTTTCTATTAGTGGCAAAGTGCCTCTGCTCCATGGAATTCACACTTAAGAAATTCCTTTTCTGTACACTACCATGCTAAGGAACAAGTATTCCCCATTTGAAAACTGTGACTCCTTTTATTTACATGCCAATTTACCCTTTGGTCCCCAGTAATTCCCAGAATGTTTACTTAGGTGCCTGCGGTACTCCAAATGGTTGGTAATCAAAATAGCTGATTGATTTACAGAAGACAGGGTTTCCTTCTACATAAAGAACAAGGCACTTTTCTTCCCCATCTCCCCGTGGCCTTCAGCTGCACAGATGTGTACAAGACAAAACTTTAATGAAAAGAGCTTGATGGTATTCACAACTCCATCCCTGGTGGCTGGTAATTAATTCACTTTGCAGGGGCAAGGGGGTAATGTAAGGCACATTGAGACTTGACTAGGCACAACTGGTTATCACTACTGGTCAGAAACAAAGGGGAATATTCTGTCCCTGCTGGGAGGGTGGGCTTGCCAAAGAAACCCAGCTGGGCAGTCTCAGGAGCTTGCACTGTATTTGCTTGAAAACACACCTGCCCCGGGAACTTAATTTCTTACTCTTCCTCAACAGAAACAGTATTTGAGGCATTTTACATAGAACTTTTCCACAGATGTACAGAAACTTCTTTTTAAAATGTTTCTCACTCCCACCCATAGCCCTAATGTGTGTGCCCTTCAGCAAGTTATGGGAACAAAAAAGAAATACTTCAGCACTTGCAGAAACTGGTACCAGGGAGCCATCTGTGGAAAAAAAGCGTAAGTATGCTGTGTTTCAAAACTATTCCCCATTCACTGAAATAGTATCATGTATGATACAGAAACTCTCATTCTCAGAGACAAGTTGTTTCATGAAGACACAGTAAGAATTCATAATTTTACTGGGTTAAAGCTTGTCTTTAGCTGCTTCTAAAACCACCTGGGTAACTGATCTAATAATTATTGCCAAAATATCACAAAAGGAGTGGAAAGTCTGGAAATGACAGCATAGTATATAGTCTTTTTGAAGTTTAAGAGGCTTCAGAGGATTAAGCTCAGCTAATAATTCTGAGTTAAGTATTCATAGCTCTGTTTTAAACACAAAGAGTTATGCAGTTAAGTGACTTACCCAGAACCACAGAGAGACCTAATAGGCCAGTTGTGACAAGACCTTGGCTCTACCTAGCAGAGCAGTGTGCTCAGACCACCCCTCTCTACAAAGAAAAAACCAAAATCTAAATATGGCTGTGCATACAGATTAAATCTGTGTGAGTCTGATATTCTTTTAGAATCTGTATGTGTATTTCAATTATCATGCCTTCTCAGAGTGCGAGTCATTGCCTTCTCTGTGACAAAATGTCAGTCATTACTACTTTGTCAGGCATAGAGCAGCTTCAGAGTGTGAACACATACAAACCCCCCCAGTCCTGAACTTGGTCTGCCTCACTTGTCTTGCTTAGAATTTAAGTAGTTCAACAGAGGTTGACATTGTTTATCCAGTACACTAAACAAATGTTTTTCTTTTGTACTACATTTTCTGTTGATGTTGTGCAATTACTTGGATACATTCCTCAACAGTTCTCACAGGAAGAAATTTTTATTTTTCCATTATTCTCTTACAGGGTCCAAATAGGTCTGGGGTAAATTTTTCAGAAAGGCTTAAGTGAACAGGGGGTCAAGGCTTTAATTGCAACCATCTTAGAGTATTAGGAGTCTCTTAGTGAAAGCCTGTAAAACTCTTCCAAATTCCCAAGTAAAATTTAAGTACACAATTTGAATAGCAACTGAGAGATTGTGTGCCTTAAGAGATAGAGATAAGTTATATTGATACGTGGTGCAAATTGTATATATGAGGAACTTCCCTCCATTTAAAGTAAGATTTATATTCAAAACTTTCCAAACAAACACCAGCCACTGTTTTAGATGATAAGGTAATGGGGACTAGAGATTTTGTATCTGTGCCAAAGGCTTCCTTAAGAGTGGTTAGTATGGAAGAGAAATACCTAAAGTGTCAGCAATATAAGCCAGTCAAGGATGACTCCCTTCGTAAACAAGCTCTTAAATTGTCTTTAGAATGATTTTGGATCAACAGAAAGGAGAGCATGATCAAGAAGTAACTGATAATTTGCAATTAGATAGTCATATTTTTGTTCTCCTGATTGCCAAAGTCATGAGTAAATAGGATCCACATTTTTTAGTCCGTTCTTCAAGTTTTAGAAGTGTTTTTAAAATACAGAAAAAATTATAAATTTGGGGGGGATGGAGGGAATAGGTATGTTTGAATTTAAACAACTGCACATAGCTCACATTGAATCCAAGTGAGCTTCTACAAACAAAGTTTTTTAAATAAGAAATGCAACCACAAGACTTTTAAAACTTATATGAAATTCATTGAATAGTTATTTACAGAAAGTCAAAGAATTCTATGTTGACAAAGAATTAGATCTAGACACAATCTGGGCTTGTGCTAGGGAATGGGGCGGTGCAAAAAATTATGTGGAGTGTGCATGCGTTGCTAGCAGTGCTGATACGGCTACAGTCTCTCATGTTCTCCAGTGCATTTACATATGTGGCACTCTCATTTAAAAAAAAAATATATATGTATAATTTTCCTTTTTTTTTTCCTTTTTTTTTTTTTTTTCAAAGCGAGCTTTATGGTTTGCTTCTTTTTTTTTTTTTTTTTTTTTGGCTTGTTCATCTATGATGGCTGAAAAACAATTATACTCATAGTTCTTCTTGAGCATGATCCCTATACTTAATAATGTAAAACTGATTAAGACTCCCAAAATGCCTCCAGTATTGATTTTTCACTGTAATCTGTAAAATCAGATTAAATCAAATTAAAATCCAACTTAAATCATTGCAAATTGTAAAATCAGACATGTAAATCAGACAATATTCAGGCAAGGACTGCAAATGGGCTTGAATTATGGTTTCTGTTGGATGTCAGAGGCTTTGCATTTTCTGAGTTTTCTGAAAGATGCTACATGTCATAACCCAGGGTTGGAAAGGATCCTTTCCAGTTTTCAAAGGGAAGGATCGAAATGAGAAAAAGGAAAGGATCCAAATGAGAAAAAGGAAAGGATTCAAATGAGTGAAAATGCAGTAGGAAGTTTTCTTCCATTTTCTTTCTGAGAAAGAGTTTTCAGTGCTCTGACAGCATACTACAAGTTAATGGAACTGAACTGTATTTCCAATACACAGTGTTGCTTTTCAAACACTGCCATGGCTTTGAAGTTTTAACTCTAAAGTATTGACATGAAAATGGTACCATGGCACCACTAAAACCAAGGAAAAGACCTGGCATTTATGGGCCAAGCTGTCACCCTAAGCTTTTTGCTATTGTAAACTTCGTTACTAATTACTTACTTAAAGAAGTGGAAGACAGTAACCTCAGTAAATTACAGTACATGTAGAGCAAATCATAATGAACTTCCTACATAGACAAGCAATCTGATTATTCTAAATGCCCAGAAGCTTTTTTTGGTGCATAATTAAATGTCTGGAATTCTAACTAGTCTCTCCCATTTTGATTTTTGCCTTGATCTTACAAGCAAATCCAGATAGGTTAAAACTAATTTTTCATAAAAATTGCAGATTTATATGCACTTGATGATGGTAATAATAATCCATTTCCAGTCAAAATAGACTATGTGGGTTCATTTGCCCACTTCTACATTCAATTTTGTCAGGACCCACAGGTTTATAGTATTTATCAAAATCTTTCCTCCAAGTGACATTATAATACTGACCTCCCTTTTCCTTCAAAGGACATGTTGCAAGTCATCCAAAATACTTCACCTTTTGAGTGAGGTCTGCCATACCACTGACATCTTTGGCACTACATATTATTCCACTGCAGATGCATTGGGAAGAAGGGTATTTCCTGAAAATGACTTAGACTGGAACTTGGATATTCTCACAGTCAGTACTGGAAACAACCTGTTCCTGTGGTTTTATTTCTAGACAGATGTCAAGTCTTCCCATGAGAGAAAATGTGGTCTCAGCAGAAATCTGACAAGAAATTCATTACTTTGCTAATCTCCAGAAGCAAACTGAGTTACGGATGCCTTCATGCGTCAGGAAAAAATTAATGCAATAGGCAGTTTGAACTCATAGAACTAAAGTCAGGTGTGACTTTGTTCTCTTAATTGACTAGCATTTAGAGGAATGTAAGCTATAAATAATATTACAGAACCTATGTAAGGACCTAAGCAAGAATCCTGCTATGGCCTACCAGAGGAAAACTGAGTGGTGGGACTGGGTAGATTTGGGCATGAAGAGTCTACACAAAATTACACTTGTGTAAGCATGCACAGACCAAGTCTAGAGGGTGAAAACAGTGTGTATGACAGTATAACACATGAGGGACGGGGACCTGGTGGAGTGAGTCCAAAGGAGGGCCTTGATAATCAGAGAACTGGAGCACTTTTCTATTAAGGCAGGCTGAGAGAGTTGGGCTTGTTCAGCCTGGAGAAGAGAAGGCTCAGGGAAGACCTTAAGGTAGCTTCCAGTATTTAAAGGGGGTGTTCAAGTATTCTGGAGTAGGACTTTTTACAAGGCCGTGTAGTGGTAAAACAAAGAGGAATGGCTTTAAACTCACAGAGGGGAGATTTAGGTTAGACATTAAGAAAAAATTCTTTACTATGAGGGTGGTGAGACACTGGCACAGGTTGTCTAGAGAAATTGTGGATGTCCCATCCCTGGAAGTGTTTAAGGCCAGGCTGGATGGGACTTTGAGCAACCTGGCCTAGTGGAGGATGTCTCTGCTTATGACAGGGTGTTGGAACTGGGTGATCTTTAAGGTCCCCTTCAACCCTAACCATTCTATGATTCTATGATTCTAAGTTCAGTTGTAGAACTCCTGAGAGTTTTTTTTTGTGACTGTAATAGAGCATCTGTTATAACTTAGTCTTAGCTGTCAATGGAAGTTTTATACTCTCTGCATCCAAAACAGAAATGCAGACATGACTAAAGAGGTTACTATAATAAGAATGCTAATGCAATGTGCAATGGCTCTTCTCACGTTAATTTCTACATGTTACAAAGTCCTTCTTAACTTGCATATGTGATCTATAAAATGTTAATTTAAAAATGCTTTTATTATTTACACTTCCTATCCAGTGCTGTAAATTAGATCCAGTTGGGATGCTAAACTATGAGTCTATTGGGCCAAAAGTCTTTCCACTGTTTCTCTGCAGTATTTTTTTCTTCATGCCAGCAAGGAGTGGAAACAGATGAGTCACAGAGCTGATCTGAATAAACTAAAAACTGTCTCTAATAGCCAAGAATAACAAGGACTTAAGATAATGTTGCTCTCCCCCTTTTTCCTTTGGAATACTCTCCTTTGGATGATATCAGAACAAATTTGCATTAAAAAAAAACACCCAATAAACAAACAAACCACCAAGCCCACCACTCAAAAAAACTCAAAAACCCAAAACTTCCAAAGCCTCAAGAATGTAGCATTGTCTGATATCTGAGAAACTGCTTTCTTTGCTTGGGCACCATCTTATATTGAACTAGTAGGGAGATAGAAATTAATATAACTTATGATGTGTGATCATATTTCCCCTGAGTACTGTGGTACTGAGGAACTGCCTCTTGTACTGAGTTTTATCTAATTTTAACCTCATTATGATATTCTCCATAAAAAAACTCCTTTTCTTCTCATTACATCTTCCTCATTACATTTTGAGCACAGCTGGTGTATGGCATTCTAATTGTAAACTGTAAGAGAACAACAATACTGTAAGTAGAATCTTACAGTAACCTTTAATGACTGAAAAGAAATCCTGGGCTGTACATAGCAATTTACATGGTAAAAAAGGCACTGATCTTGTAATGCTTGGCTGAAAAAACATTTTCTTTCTCAACTATGTTCTTAAGCCAATTTTCTGCCTTTCATTAATTGTGTCATTGTTGGATATGATAAGAAGACTAAACTTGCCATGTCTTATTCCATGCTGATAATTCAGTTTCCTCTTTCCTTTTTCAAAAGCTAATTATATCTGCAAAATGCAATCTTTCATAGTGTCGTGGTTTAAACCCAGCCAGACAGCTTGTTACCCACTCCCCCCCCTTCTTGCCCTCCCTCTACTCCTGGGGGAACTGAGAGGAGAATCGAAAAGAAATGCAACTCCCACGGGTTGAGATAAGAACAGTTTAGTAACTAAGGTATAACACAAATCACTACTGCTACCACCAATAATAGTAATGATAAAGGAAATAACAAGGGAAGAGAATACAACACCTCATCAACAGCCGACCGATAACTCGCCCCATCAGCCCTACCAAGCACTGACCGATACCTCCTCCAACCCCGCAGTCCTCACCCTTCCGGGTAACTCCCCAGTTACATCCAGGGCATGACGTGCTGTGGTATGGAATACCTCTTTGGTCTGTTTGGGTCAGGTGTCCTGTCCTGCTTCCTCCCGGCTTCCCCTCCTCCCTGGCAGTGCATGAGGCTCACAAAGTCCTTGGCCAAACCAAAACATCATTTTTATCAGCTCTGTTCCCAGCCTAAAAGTCAAAACACAGCACTGCACCAGCTACCAAGAAAGAGAAAAATGACTGCTACTGCTAAAACCAGGACACATAGCAGCTCAGGGGGTGATGGGGAGAGATTTTTCTGCTCCATGGAAGGAAAAATTATTTTCTCATGACAAAACAGTTCACACAGTTGGAAGAACATTATAACTCCTACTCTACTACACAGTTTTCTTTAATCAGTTTGGGGGGTTTTATTAGCTTCTGGCAGGGATGCAACAAAAAGGAAGAACATAAAATTAATTACCTTATTAGTCAGAAAATCTGTAGCCTAAATTGTATCCTATTCTTGCATTCCCAAGAAAAAAAAATTCAATTAATTGCTTTAAGGAAAAATATGTATTCAAAAGAACTATAAAAGTAGTTTAATATATGGCTTCTCAGTTGAAAAAATGCACGTGGAAAAAAGGACTGTTTTTAAAAATAATTCTTTAATCTTTGCCAGATCTTTCACATTGCTGTCAATTTCAGAATTATACTCCTCACTTTTAAAATCATGTTTTGTAATGTTATTGGTCTGGAATTTTTTAATCTCTTCAACGAGTTTGGATGTTGAATGTCTTGAGGCCAACTTTTCATGTGAATAAGTTGTTCATTTTAATGTACTTGTGGTTAATGTTTTGTCAGCTCTAGCTTATGAAAAATGAGAGAAGTGTACTCAGCTGCTACCAAAGTGCCTACAAATGTAAAGTTGGAATGTGGTGGTAAAAGCTCAGCAAAATTTTCCTGGAATTAGTGTTCAGGACTCTATCACTGCCAACATCAGCCAGACCTACAAAAATATATATATACTATGCAAAAATGCGATGCTAATTTTTCTTTGTCATTTACAGTGTACCAGAATTGGAAAAGTAATAACCGGAGTCTATTGTCTTAAAATTTGTTTTAAACCTTTCATAAGATCATATAATTTGTCAGCATTTCCTCTCTCAAGGAGCCAGAGTGAAGACTGTGATAACTTTTGTGTAAGAGAAAAACTGTCGAACAGATGTATAGTAGTAGACCTTTTATTTCTGTCAGCTTTATGAAAAGACCTTATATCTTATAGGAGCATGAATGGTAAATTGTGTGTTACAGTATAGAATTATCATTTAGCCCTAGTTTGCTCTTATGTGTAGCAAACACATATTCAAGCATAAGAACATTTTATTTACATCTTTATATATCAGTTCCTGATCTGAGGAACTGCTAAATTCTGTGTATGCTGTGATGGCATACTCCTTTAACTCTGTTTTTGATTTCTTGTTGTCTGGTTTTCATCCTCACTACATTTACCAGTGAACTTTCCCTTGTGTTCATCCATCCAGTCTTTAGTGACTTCCTTCTCTTTAACCTGCTTTATGTCTGTTCTTAATTAGTTCTCTCTCTCTTTCCTAAGCTTCTTCAGTCTTCCTTGAAAAACTGAGGCTCTCTCATCCCACTTTCTATCACCATATACTACACAGGACTTTCTTCTAAATACCTGTTAGTTTCTATTGCCAGTATATTCATGACCTCATGTAGATTTGTCATTTTAATTTATTTTTTGTTCATTTGTTTTCCTTTTCCTTTACAACCCTGATGCCATCAATTTCTATCAATGTCTTCACTTTATTTTTTCGTTTCTTCAATCCCATCTAATCTTTTCAAAACAGATCAGTTAAATTAATTTTCTTCAACTGCTGTTCTAGTTGCTTCATCTTTAATAACTCTACAAGTTCCACATCCCCTCCTATTTTCCTTCCTAGCACTTAAACTTAATGATGGACGTCATTCTGTAAATTCTAAAGCCTTGCATTTACTAAAATACAACCAATCTGTAGTCTATAAAGAAAAGGTTAAATGATAAAAAGGGATGAAGAACTGGAGACTGTGTACTTAGCAATGAAAAATTAATTAAAAATGAGACTTACCTAAAATTAGTATTTACTTATCCTGTACATTTTTTGATTGTGCTTTGTTTGTACGTCACAGAACTGTCTTATATGAGTGCTGTCCTGGCTATATGAAGATGGATGGTACAAGAGGATGTCCTGCAGGTGCAAGCTTGTTTTCATATGGATGAGTCAGTACAAGAAGCATCACAGCACAGGAGACTTTCAAAGATGGTCATCTTGAGAAATTATTACCTCTTTTTAAGAATTACTGCCTGAGAATACACAGCTTCATTTGCATACAGCCCACACAGTTAGAAATCAGACAGCACTGAAGTTGGTCATTCAGTTTAAGTTGAATTTCCCAGCTGCTTGCAGTTGAGAGGAATGATAGTTCCCAAAGCTGCAAAAGAACTTTTATTCCTATTCCCACCACATCCCAGCGTAACCTAAAAGCATACCAGTAAGGTCAGAAACCAAGGACATGAGATGCGGCATATCTAACTTCTGTTTATTCCTTTTTCCCTAGAAGACTTGAATCTTATTTACTAGAGAAGAGTGTTATAGGCTTTAAATAAACTAAGGACTGAAAATTAAGACTTAATTCATTAAATTCTTGATTTTCTTTATTTCTGCTCCTGTTTTGCATAAATAAAATTAATCAAAGCAAGGAAGAGTAATCTGTGAAGAAATTTATTTCATAACTTCAGATCCTTATATCTGAACTATGCCCTTTACATTCACTAATAGAGTTAGGCATACCTGAGGCAGAGTTTGTTTAGAATAATTAATTTCGCTTTAGATATTGACATTAGAATGAGGTCAGTCATACTCTAGAATTGCCTGTTATTATTCATGACCTTAAAAAGAGCCAAGAACAGCTAGCTCACATACAGGTGTCCTGCTTCTTGACGCCTAGAAGTAGGAAAGCTGAATTCAGGTCTCATGTAGCATTGTTTTAACTGTGAGCCTATGGACATCCTTACTCTCTGGATGAAAGTTTAAGCATAAACCACACACTGGAAGAGCAAGAGGCCTCACAAGAGCAATTTTGCTCCACCATGACCAAATGAGACCCACTCCATCAAAATTTTTGTGGTTATATATGGAATTTTCTCTTGTCTTTAATGGATAGACACCCATTTCAGGTTGGGTTGGCACGAAACAGAGCAGCTGTTCTAAAGAAAACATTACAATATTCAGTTTTGTCTGATGTAATTTTTCATTAAACAAACTGAAAAAATAAATAACAAGCAGATGTGTTTGGATGTTTTTTGAGTGTTTTGAGGATAGAACTTTAATCCAAGCACAATGTTTTAATATTGGTTTAAACAGTTTCAGAAAGGCAGTACTACTGTCCAACTAAAAGAGACAGAATACATTTGATTGTGAGAAAATGGATGTCTGAAGAGTTTACAATATTTTTATGTTTATTTCAGTTGCTCCTATTGATCACGTATATGGCACACTTGGTATTGTGGGAGCTACTTCCACACAGCAGTATTCTGACATATCAAAGCTGAGAGAAGAGATTGAAGGACGAGGATCATTCACTTTCTTTGCACCAAGCAATGAAGCCTGGGAGCAATTAAATTCAGTAAGTTTGTGTATGCTCATGCACACATATATGTGTTAAACTGTATTTCTCTTTCAGCTAATGTTGTTTTAGCTGCAACATAGTCTATGATAAGACAGACCAGGAAAAAATATTGATATTTTAGATATAAAAGAACATTGGAAAAGTTATAATAAAATTATTTTCATGTTTAACATACATTGCTGAATATAGAGTCTGATTTTTTTTCAGTAGTACTAAGCAACTGTGTTTCTTCATTAAATGCTTCCATGAAAAATATGAATTTTGTTAGTGCTATTGGCACAATTTGGGGTAAATTCACAGGAATTCCAGCAATTGTATGATGTAGAGTACAACTCTACTTTGTCAGTGATTCAGGTGTCCTTTTAGTAATGTATTTAGGTAAATAAATATTGAATCAAAACTCAATGATCTGCCTGTAATGAGAATTCCTGTCTTCCATTTGTGAACAAATCAGACTAAAGTATCATTTGAGTCAGATTGACTGGTATCAAAGTTGTGTCTCCTAATAGGAAATATCCATTGTAGTATATATTGAAAGCATATGTTAAAGTAACTGTATGTACATCTTTCTGACTAGAAGAATGTTTTGACTCCTCTGGGTAATGAAATTCCTTTCTTCTTCAGGAAATTCACAGGAATTTGGTGGACAATGTAAATATTGAGCTGTATAATGCTCTCCACCACCACATGGTAAATAAGCGTATGTTGACAAAAGATCTTAAGAATGGCATGACTCTGGTGTCTATGTATAATGACCAGAAATTGCTTATTAACCATTATCCTAATGGGGTAAGTCTGCTCTCTTTTTTTTCCTTTTTTTTTTCTTTTTGTTTTTTTCATAAGAAAATTATTCAGTTATAGCCATTACTTTTTCCTTTATTTCCTTCTATAGCTAAGAAAACTGGTTATAGAAAGTTTAACATCTAGCAAATCAGTTGCCACTGACAAAAATAAATAAATTTTCCCTTAAAAAAATTTTGTCTGCTAATAGACTAATCACTAAGAAAGAATGTGTGTTCTTGCTGTTTAGAAATCAAAGTTCAAATGAAAATAAACATTCTTCCTAAAAGACAAAGCCTTTCGTGTCCAAAATATATGATCATAATAAACTGGGGAGAAAAGCTAGTATTAATCTTCATATGTTTACAAAATAATTTTTACATCAGATCTTTCATTTGAATTAGAGTACATGGTAGAAGCATTTAAGATCATAGGGGATGTACTTCCTGTATTTGGCTAGAAACAAAATAACTTTTATAAATGCTAGAAATCTCCCAGTTAATCCACTCATCTTTGTTGCCTTAAAGGCATTGAAACTTATATGTTTGACTACAGCTTACATTAGTAAAAAATCCTCAGACAATCACTGTATTAACCATATACCAAACCCAAAAGTGAATAACTGCATTAAGAAATTAAACATGAATATGAAATAAATGTTGCCTGAATAAATCTACTGCTAGCTTCCCAGAAGCTTAGTCAGCCTTCGAAATCTTACACGTTTTTACTTAAAATTTAAAATGAAAACTGAAAGAACAATGAATATGGAAAGTACAGTCCATACATCGTCCATCTTAAGAATCAGATTGCACATACGATCAAATGTTTAATGTTCTGCTTGTTTGTCCAAATATAGGTTGTTACCATTAACTGTGCCAGGATCATCCATGGCAACCAGATTGCTACCAATGGTGTTGTTCATGTCATTGATCGTGTCCTGACTGCTGTTGGAAACACTATTCAAGATTTCATTGAGGTCGAAGATGATCTTTCATCTCTTAGAGTAAGTGGACAAAAATAAAAACATTCTTCTGGTCTCGTAGGGTTTTTTTCTTTCTTTTCTATTTGTGTTTGATAGTTGGAAGTAAGAAGGATTAGTTCAGAGAGAGAGAAATAAATTAAATTATGAGCTCCAACTAATGTTGCAAATCTGGCTATATAAAAAGTAAAAGTATATTTTTCATAAGGAATCTGTTTATTCTCTTTTGTGGATCGAATAAGACCACAGCAATACAACATAATGTGTCCCTGTACATAAAAAATGTGTCTTCAAGCACTGAGGTAATGAAACATGTGTCATAAGTTACCATCTGGTGCTGCTAGGTAAATAAGAAAAAGTCCAAAGTGGATGATAGAAAATGGTAAAAAAAAACCCAAAACCAACAAATTCCAGAACCTAACTAATAGCAAGTTTCAGAGCATCAGTAGATAAATGTAAGAAAGATTTTTCTTGTGGAGGGGAAGCAGGTTTTTTTCTGCCCAGGTTTCTAATCTCTCTTTCTTCTGGGAGATGAGTCTGCTTAGTGTAATGGGATTTCATGCTGCACATGTTTAAAAGAATATGCTGTGGTTTCAGAAGTAGGTGTTGCCCTTTTCCCTTCCCCATATCCTTAATTAAAATAATAATAGTAATTTTAAATGCAGGGCATAAATATGAAAAAGACCTTCTGAATCCCTCAAACCTATTCCATGACAGGCAACCACATCATTTAATCTCTTTAAAAACGAAATGTACAAGCGAACACTTCCTAGTTGCTAAGATCACACTTGTTTTTCTTCCAGTTACATCACATTAAACTCTGCCTTTCTGATGTTTCAAAGGGTGAATTCCCTGTTTATAGCACATACACTTGCCAATTACTGTGTGTGTGCCCTTGCACTTAATACTACTTTTGGCTCCAAAAGCAACTGTGCTAATGAAACCATTCACAACAAAATCAACCCTGAGACTCTAATATGGCATTTCTTTTAGGATGGTTATTCCCATCTTCCAATTCACCAGTTTCATATGCACTTTATCATTCTGTCTTAGGTTGAGTTAATAATATTTCATCTTTAACTGAGCAAATTCTTTACTCAAGTCCAGATGTGCTCAATTTTACATATGTTCTTTTTCTAGAAAATCTGCAAATAATTCATATTGGCATAATCTATTATAGTACCCTTTTAATCTATCATATATTCTCACAGTTACTTCTTGAATGTCCAGAGCTGAGTAACATTTATAATTATAGAAGCATATAATCATAGTATGGTTTGGGTTGAAGGGGACCTTAAAGATCATCTAGTTCCAACCTTCTGTCATGGACAGAGACACCTTCCACTAGACCAGGTTGCAAAACCCAGAGGTAATTTTTTCCTGGCCTCAAAGCTTGAGATGGGATAGAATAGAATGTTTCAGTTGGAATTTGATCAAGAATCATCTAGCCTGATCACTTCAGGGCTCACCAAAACTTAAATCATGTTGTTAAGGGCATTGTCAAAACACTGACAGGCTTGGGTCATTGACCACCTCTCAGTAAAGAAATGCTTCCTACAAGCCTGTTCCAGTGTTTGGCCACCCTCTCAGTAAAGAAATGCTTCCTAATGTCCAGTCTAATCCTCTCCTGACACAACAATTGAATGATTCCTATGCACCCTATCACTGAATACCAGGGAGATCAGCACTTCCCTTTCCACTTACTCTCCTCAGGAGGCTGTAGAGAGCAGGGAGGTTGCTCCTCAGCCTCTTGTTGTGATTCAGAACTTCTTCCTTGTGTTTAATCAAATTAGTCATACAGCTGTAATATATTTTTTATTATTTCAAGGGCAAATTATTAGTTTTGATCTGATTTGTCAAGGAGTTCACATTTTTCGTTCAAAAATTCAGGCCAAAATAATTCCAAATTTTGCACTGTTGTCAACACTGTCAGAATTTATTGATTACTGTGTGCTGCATTAAAGAGGTAACTCAGTATATCGAGACACGTTTTCCCCACAAAAATAGTTTTCTATTCCTTATTGTTAGTTTTGCCTTTCCATAACACAGATCTATCTAGCATTAAAGTACCTGTGGGCACTTGGTGAAATGAGACAATTGTTTTTTGGTAATATTTTAAATAACCAGCATTAAAAACAAATTTATCTTCCAGGCTGCTGCCATCACATCAGATGTCTTGGATACTCTTGGAAGGCCTGGCCATTATACACTCTTTGCTCCTACCAATGAAGCTTTTGAGAGACTTCCAAGGGGAGTTCTAGAGAGGATTATGGGTGACAAGGTGGCTTCTGAAGGTGTGTAACCTTTTTTTCAAATGAGAAATACAGGTGACTAGATCAGGAGGTAGAAACTACATTATCTTACTGGCTCTGAAATGAAGCTCCTGTACTTTCATACATATTGGAGGAGGTATTTCTTTCGTCTCTGATTTTTCCAATTACCTAATGTTTAGAAGTCACTGAAAACTTAGTTTCCAAAACTCTGTTGTTTCTGATAGTTCAGCTGCACAGTTACAATAGAGATTACTGCCTCTAGAAATGCAGGGATAACAGAACGTGGGAGCTTCTCACAGCTTTCTCATCAACAGCTTTTTCATACAAAAAAAAGAAATGTTCTTGTAAAAGCTAAGTTTGGCCATGCAAGTTGAACTGAATTTGTGCTATATATTCCGACAAACTGTAGCAGTCAGCATGCTTACTTTTTTTGAGAACTACAGTAAATCCAAATAGCTGAATCAGTTATGTGAACAGCAATGTAATGGACCACTAAGGAGTGGAAAGCTGCATTTCTGTCATCTCCTTTATGCTCTCTACTGCACCAAACAAATTCTCAATCATTTCATTCTAGCCTGATTAACTCAGTCGATGAAGTCAGTCAAAGAAGAATGGTGAAAAGAGGGATCTGGGCTAATTTGAATGTGAGACAAAAACTAAAAATGGAATTCTGAAATAACACAATTTTTTGATGGGGCTTTTTATTATTTTTTTTTAGTTTACCTTCAGGAATTTTTGGCTGATTCTTTTGGTACTCACAGAGGATAGCACACTGAATCTCAGTTACTATAGAAAAGCACAATAAAATACAAACCTGGGCTGGATTTTCATAGCCTATACAGTTGTGTACTTAGAGGTCTATTTGGAGCATGTCATCTACAGTCACTAAGTTATATACTCTGTTACATGCAGGTTGTCACATAAACTGTATAGTTTTCATAATACCAGCGATGCCAAAGATATTTGACCATAATTGTTTTTTAGAGGCCTGTAGGATCAATTGTCAAATAAATAACTTTCAATAAATTATCTATCAGTGCAAATATATGTGCTAGATAAGCTAGTAAACTATTAAAATAGTGTAGATATTTTATCTCCCACCTATATGTGTATTTTGTGTATATATATGGATATATATAAAAATATATGTATCTAAATACCTATATGTTAATATCCCGATATTTTTTTCCACAGCTCTAGTGAAGTTCCATATTTTAAATACTCTCCAGTGCTCTGAAGCTATCACTGGTGGAGCTGTCTATGAGACCTTGGAAGGAAACACAGTTGAAGTTGGTTGTGATGGTGAAAGTCTGACTGTGAATGGAGTGAAGATGGTAAAACGCAAAGATATTGTGACAAGCAACGGTGTTATCCATCTCATTGGTGAAGTCTTAATTCCTGATTCTGGTCAGTGATGTGTATGAAAAGCTTATACTGAAGATGTTTTCTACAATCTTCCCTATATTCCCTCCGCCCTGTTGTTATTAAGCATGGAGAATCCATGAAAAGGAATAAACTGTGTGGTAAAATGTTTTGTCTTACTTTATTTGCAGCCAAGCAAGTCATTGAGCTTGGTGGTGCCCAGCAGACAACTTTTACAGACCTGGTGACACAGGTAGGACTTGCATCTTCTCTAAGACCTGAAGGCCAATACACTCTTCTGGCACCTCTGAATGGTGCTTTCTCAGGTTAGTAGCCTTAAAAGATTATGTTCTGGATGTCAAAATAAATAAGAATATATGCTACACATTAATATTAAATTTTTTTATAGATGACACCTTAAGGATGGATCAACGCCTTCTTAAAACAATCCTGCAGAATCACATTATAAAAGTGAAAGTCGGGCTCAATGAACTGTACAATGGACAAGAGCTGGAGACAATTGGAGGAAAATTGCTTAGAGTCTTTGTGTATCGCACAGTAAGTGAACAGGACTTTCTAACAGTATGTATCCCAACTATGAAAATGAAGAATCATAAAAGAATAAAAGACAAAGCTGAAAAAAACCTCCAACATTTAACAACATGATTATCTAGCAAAAAATTTCAAGCTAATTTTTATTAATAGGAACTTTGTTTGCATGGAAGACACTGCGAAAACAAAGCAGAATTCCATATTTGGCACTCCATTAGTTAATTTTTAACATTTTGTTTGTTTGTTTAGAACTAGTTAAGAGAATTCTCAAGGGAAACTAAAAAATCAAGTTTGGAAATATTTACACCATATCAACTTACTCCAGATTTTGCTACTTTTATTTTCTCACGCAATGCCATATTTCCTGGCAAGAACACAAAATGTAACTGTAGGAAATACATATGAACTTTATTTTGTATTTAGAAACCTGTTGGGAAGTATGTATCCATCTCATTTTATCAGATATGTTTAAATGTGTATCACTGTGTGAAAGCTGCACTTGTTTCTCTTTTAATCAGGCTGTATGTATTGAAAATTCATGCATGGTCAGAGGAAGTAAAGAAGGAAGGAATGGTTTTATTCACATCTTCAGACAGATCATCAATCCAGCAGAAAAGACACTTCATGAAATGCTGAGGAATGATAAGCGTTTTAGGTGAGTAGTGGTTTTGACAGCCCTGAGATTTCACTACAGATAACAACCCTAGGATATACAGCACAACTGGTCTGAGAAATAATTGTGGACTGTGGGTTGTTGGATTTTGAGGAACATGGAGAACAGGGAAGGTGTTATTAACTCCTAAAAAAAAAAAAAAAAAGGAGAAAGAAAATGTGGGAGGTTGGGGAGCAAAAACTGTTCTTCTCTAGCTATACGCTGAAAGGGCTCTCAGACTTAATGTTACAGTGGTCGTTTAGGCACACAGTTATCCGTAAGACACCAGAGTGAGTGGACTAAAAAGATAAAATTGGGTAATACCTCCAGAACTATAAATACAGCAGTGTCTGGTGGTTTAGTTAATGAGTAGTATGATTCCATATGGGTGCAGCATGATTTTATGCCCTTCCAGTACATATTTCTGTCTCCTTCCTGCAAGTATCTCCCTACTTTTTGAAAGAATAACCACCCTTGTCATCTTATCTTCATCTCTTTGATTGGTGGGGACTTAATTTGATGAATTCTGCTCTGATACAGTCTAACAACTTTTTTTTTTCCTCCCCTTCAAATCCTTTTTCTTCAGTCTGCTACTTTTAAGACTGTGCTTTTTTCTGATTTCCCTCTTCCATTTCTGGGAAATAGTGAGATCATTGCATTATCAAAAAATGAGGAAACTAAATGCCTGGACCCAAATGCAGTTTATTATTTTTGGTTTGTTTCTTTGTGATAAACAGTGTTTTCCTCAGTCTGGTGAAAGCTGCAGATTTAGATGATGTTCTGTCACGACCTGGAGAATGGACTCTATTTGTTCCTACTAATGATGCCTTTAAAGGTTTGACTGATGATGATAAGGATATACTGATAAGTAAGTAACATATGAAAAATAGAAATATAAGCAAAGGTAAAACTGAAGGGAAAGGTTGCTAGTGCTTTTCTTACACAAAAGTTATCTGATAAAACAGTTTACCTTAGACTAAGAGCAGGTCATAGGCCATCCATAAATTCATTTCTTCTTGGGGAATAGAGAAAATATCTTTTTGGAAAAACAAAAAAACAACCTGAATTTAAATTTAAACTTCAATCCTTAATATAGTATTATTCCAAGATGTAATTACCATCAAAGCTAATACCTACATTCATTTAATTAGTTTTAACTTGTCATTATTAAACCTTGCTATAATTTTTTTTTCAGCTGAAAAGTCTCTTCTATCCTCTTTCTTTTCTAGTTGAGGCCATTGCAGTAAAATATATTTAATACTGACTTTCCTGTCATTCCTTTCTCTTCTCTGCCCAGTGATCTCTAATATCACTTGTACTCTACAAGTTAAATATTTAATATACATTGTTAAATTCAATTTTATGTAATTTCAACTGTTTGTAGTTTCTTTAATTTCATGCTTTATTACCATAAGAGAAGAAACACTGAATACCCCATATCTCCTGCAGAATTTCCCACTAGAGAGGTAGACTGTGGTCATAGCACTATGACTACTTTTGTTTATTTGAGAGTAATGTGAACATAGCTTGCACAAATACAGGAGGAGTGATTGCCTTGAATCCCACATTAGAAGGTCACTCAGATTTTCCATTACTGCACTTTTTAGGCCAAAGTTTGATGACATAAGCCAAATCCCATGAATCCTTAATGCCTTCAAAGAATCCAGCTCAAAGCATCGATAAGCAGCAGCCCATCTCTCTACAGCCTTTATCTCACTGACAAGGCACTGTGAATTTGAATTAGCTATCTCTTTAAAGTCAGGATAGGGTCTAAATTACCTTCTAGTGTTGTGTGTCTTTAGCGACTAACAGTAAAATAACAACTTAGATGACTAACATTAGCTAGCTATAAAATGAAATTAAGCTTGTCCCAAGGCTGCAACCTGAATTAGCTGTATAAATGACATTGTTCTGTTTTTACTGGGCTGTATTCTGTGATTCTGTGCTATAGTTATTTTATTAACAAAGATTTAATTTGTCAGGTCTATTATTTTTATCTTAATCCACAATTTGATGTTGTACTCGAGGCCCATGCCATTTTGGATTATTTCTGTAATTAAGAATAGAATTATGTTCTGCTTTACAAAGGCTTTATGTGCTATATTTTCCTGTCATTATTACTCAGCTTCTACTTTGTCAAATGAGATTTTAATTTACCCTCCTTGTTCCTTACTTTTTTTTTTCTTTTTTGTTTCAGCAGAATGTCCATTTTTTTCTGTCATTTTTTTTTTCTGGAATTCTGTCTGTCTTGCTTTTTTGAAGACATTACATTGCTTATTAAGGAATAGAAAAACTTTTTTTTCATCTGTAAGAAAGACACAAACCAAATATTTTTTTTGCCAGTAGCTATTGTGGCATAGAACAAAGCTAATCTGGTAGTTGGTGAAATCAGCTTTGGAATGGCCATGTTTAAGCTTTGTGTGTAACTTGACACTACCAATGAATGGTCCAGTCAGAAAATCTCAGGGTTAATTTTAGCAGGCAGAAGAGCATTTAATTGCATCTCAGTAGTCAACTGAATTGCAGCAATATCTGTGATCAGAACAAAAAGCAGAGTAAGAAAATTTTCTCTGAAAGAGACATCAGGAAAAAATTCTAACCAGCATTTTTCCATTGCAATTTCATCAAGGCTGAAACTCCTAATAACAGTCAATATCAGCATGTAATGTTAATATGAAACTTATAATAGCATGGTCAATATTACATGTAATGGTAAGCAGATGTGTTTTAGAACTGCTTAGTTATTACTTCTACTTTTCTTTTTAAATAGGAGACAAAAATGCTCTCAGGAATATTCTTCTTTACCACTTAACACAAGGAGTTTTCATTGGAAGTGGCTTTGAGCCTGGTGTGACAAACATTCTTAAAACCATCCAAGGAGGGAAACTCTACTTGAAAACAGTTAAGTGTTGAAAAAGAAGTCTCACTGATACAGCCTTGTAACAGGGATTTGACATTCCATGTCTATCCGCATTACAGAATGGGATGCATTTCTCTGAACATTATATTAGGGTTTGGGCTGTTTTTTTTTTAATGTCCCTAATAATTTGTGTTCTCTTTTCATCTTTTACCAGGTAAATGATACCCTTCTAGTTAATGAACTGAAATCAAGAGAATCTGATCTCATGGCAACCAATGGTGTCATTCATGTTATTGATAAACTCCTGTATCCAGCAGGTGAGTATTAGTTCATGGAACTTACACACACTCTTCTGAATCTGTTTACATGTTATGTAGGTGAAATAACTCCAAAAAATATAATTCCTTTGAAGAGACAATTTCTATGTGGAATAAGAAACAGAAAATTTACCTCACTACTCATTTTGTGGAATAAACTGGGTTGAAACCATGGAAAATCTTCAAAATTCTGTGAAAGCAAATTAGGTGGTAAAGAACATGCTGTAGGCTACCTTTTCCACTCATATGGAAGAATGTATATGTACAAGTACACATTTGTGTGAGTGTTTGAGAGTGATTACATATCCTGATCAATGTAAATAAAAGCAAAATGAACACAGATGTTATGTTCTCTCTCACTTGCCTATTTCTTTTGCCAGATCTTCCTGTTGGAAACGATCAGTTGCTCACAATCCTGAAGAAGTTGATTAAGTACATACAAATTAAGGTACTCTTTGAATAATGGTCCCTTTGTCCTTTTGGCAGGATCTGTGAAACTGTATACATTATAATTTGTAAATGATTTTTTGGTCCCTCTGCTTCTTCAGCAGACAACACATTCAATAGCTTTCAATTGCCTAAATATAATCATGAATCATACTCTGCAGTTAATAGTTAGAATTTATGTTCTTCAACACCAAATACTTGCAGAATATTTGCATTTGTATAACTCCAATGTGAACTGGCCAGGATCTGTTCTTTGGTTCAGGTACACTTCATCACTCCAGCAAAAGTAATCACTTCTAAATTCTTGAGGCAATCTGTCTGTGAAAGAAATGCTGAGTGGCTAAATTGTTATGTTATTAAAACCACCAGCCTCAATAGCATGTGGAGAAAAATAGGTGTCTTTATTTATTTCAGCTATCCTTTTGTGATTACATTTGCCCTCAACAATGAATGAGAGGATCTAAACAAACCTCTAGATAAACGAAGCAGTGAATCCTAATAATACTCATTAGGAAACTAGAAAGTGCTCCTTCTTTTCATTTTTTAAATTACTTTTCTGTATTTATAGTTTGTTCGTGACAGTACCTTCAAAGAGATTCCACTGACGTTTTACAGTAAGTTCATTTTAAATATTACCAGATGGGTTTGAGATTGCTTTTTAAATGTTGCCAATTCCAATCTTGAATCTCAGATCTATTTTGTTTTCAGTCAAAAAGAAAGCAATTTCTGGGAAAGTAAGATGTGCCAGTGAAGCACAGGAAGAGAAAGACTCAAAGTAGAATATTTCTGGCTGCTGTGATACTGTACATATTTTTCCCTTTCCAGATGTGTGACAGGAAAATAACCCTGAAGTAAGATATTCAGACTCTTTGGAGTAGGCAAGATACATATGGAAGGGATTGGGTTTTTTTAAGTTTTCAGCCAAGGTTCAGTGTTTGCTGCACATCAGAGTTGTACTGCCTCTCTCTCCAAGATGTAACATTGTACTGTACTGACTGTCCAAGATGTAGCATTGACCAAACTCTGCACTGAAATGATTATTTTATTTTTTTTTTTCATAAATGCTTCCAGAGGACAGAATGTACCTATTTCACCTGTCTCCCATCCATGCAAATATGATGCTTGTGTGAGAGGTGGTTATTCTAACCATTTTCTCTTTAGGGAGTAAATGTAAAAAAATGAAACATTTTTGCTCTCTTGCAGCCTTTCTCAGGGTTTGCCTTTAGCTTCTACATATAAAGTAGAACCCATTGAAGCAATCTGTTAGAAGACAAAGGTCCTGCTAAAGCTCTGGCTTGTGAGGAAATGTGAATTTAGGCAGATGATGAAATCTCTATGGGATTCTACACACATTTCTCAGTAGAAATGGAGACCAACACATGAGGCTTTTGGAAAGTGAGAATGGACACACTGAATTTAAAAGACACTTGCAACAAAAAAAAGAAATAATCTATCTTGATGACAAGTTGAATATGAGCCAACAGTGTGCCCTGACAGTCAAAAAGGCAAGCCATGTCCTGGGTGCATCCAGCAACAGCATAGCCAGCCAGTTGTGTCAGGTGATTGTCCTACTCTGCACTGCACTGGTGCAGCCCTGTGTCAAGCACTCTGGGGTTCCTCAGCGTAAGGACATTGAACTATTGCAGTATGTCCAGAGGCAGGCAATTAAAAGGGTGAAAAGCCTCAAAGGTAAGACATCACAGTCTACAATTCCCTCAAGAGGAAAAGTGGAGAAGGAGGTGCTGATGTCTCTCTTGTGACCAGTGATAGGACAAGCGAAAATGGAATGAAGCTACGTCAGGGGAAGTTCGGATTGGTCAGTGGGAAAAGCTTCTTCACTGAGAGTGTGGCTGGTCACTCAAACAGGCTCCCCAGGGAAATGATCATGGTATCAAGCCTGTGAGCATTCAGGAGTGTCTGGATGATGCTCTTAGTCATATGGTTTAGTTTCAGATAGTCCTGTGAGGGGCAGGGAGTTGGACTCAGTGATCCTTATAGGTCCTTTCCAACTTGAGGTATTCTGGGATTCTACGATTCTATCTCCCATGGTGAGTGAAAGTAGTACAAGAAGCAATGCCTGTGAACTGAAGCAAGGGAGGTCAATGTCAGACATCAAGCTGTAGCTGTTGATTTAGTTAAATGTGGGAATGGAAAGGATGAAACCTCTCTACCAGCAAAGGCTTCTCTACCATTGAATGGATACAAGTAAAATAACAATCTGTCAATTATTCGATGAATATTTGAGTCTGTCTTAGGTGTAGAGGGAGAACTTGATCTCTCAAGGGCACCACTGTTGTGCTTTCCATGACGTTCTATCAAGTATAAGAATAGTTCTGAATGTCAGGGTTTCCTTCATTTACCAGGTCAGCTCCCCAAAAAAAAAAGGTCAAGATTTTCATTTAAGATACGTCAGGGAATTGTGCAAATCTTTATGCAGGGAACAGTAGGAGCTGTTATTATTACCTGCCTTACATTATCATAGGTTTGATGACTAGTGGGTATCATAAGGCACAAAGAAAGGCAAATAGCATGGCAACAGACTCTGTCTGCAGGTGACTTGTATACACAACCATTTAATAACTAGAACTGAAATCCGTACTCTAGATCCCTAGGGTTAGTTTTTCATCCATTGATATTTATTATTTTACCCACATCTTTTTGACCAGATCAAATGCAACTAATTACCATGAAGAAACTGTAAGAATGTGCTTTACATTCCATTTTCTATACTTTCAGAAATTAACATAATTGAAAGCAACGTTCAGCCCATCATCAGAAAGGAAGGTAAATGAGGCCCCTAGTATATATATTTCTGTATATGTTCAAATACATATATAGAATATATATTGCATATATTTCTTTTATAGGATGCATTTTGTACTTAACAGCTCCAGGACATTCAGCACTTTGCTAGAAAAGCAAAGATACAAATATTGCAAATAGAACTGGCTGAAACATTTTGCATAAAAATATTTACCACAGCTGTTCTCCCGAATGGATTTCTATGGGCATGTAGAAAAAAAAATTAAAATCATCTTTTTTAAAACCATTTCTTTATTTGCCTGAAATCTTTGCATAATTTCAATAAAAACATGTCCTTTTAGATTAATTTTTTATTTGAACATATTTAAAAGCCTTTTAATTAAAACTCTTTTTTATTGAAACAGGTTTTTTAAAAAATAGAATTGTTTCTAATACTTTGAAGGAGAAAACAATATCTGTTCTTTTCTCAATGGTTTTCAATCAGTTCTAAATACCAATATCTGTCAGATGCCTGGGAAAGACAGTTAGCCAAACTTTTTTTTCAATTTCTCAAACAAAAGCATGACTTAAAGATCAGTGATGGAACTGAAAAAAACAGCAAGTGGAGCTGGCACTGCCAAAATCACTCATGATTCGTAACTTAACTAAAACAACCATTGATTTCACTAGACCAGGTAAGTAGCTAATGAGCTCCAGTTCCCCCTGAAATAGAAATGCTCAAAGGGAATCTTGTTGAGCTCAGCTGAAGAGAAAGGCAGTTTAAAATGTCCAGATTGTTTAATCATTGTTTCTGGGAGGACTCTCGGCAGAAATGACATAATCTTGCTTTTTCAGCAGCTTGTCTGTGCTTCATGCCACTTAGGATTAGCCACCATCTTGCATATACCTGCTGATCTTTACTGCCTAGTCTGCATCATAAGATCAGATCCACAGAGCAATATAAATAGATAGATTGCACATGGCAATTCAACCAAGATATTTTAGAAATCTTCCTATGATAAAGGTGAATCACTCTCTGAATGTACCCATTCTTTTATGTTAATGACAGGGTATATAGTTTAGCTGATTTACATGATGTTTGGAAGTTGAAAGTTAACTGAAACAAAAAATTGAACATCTGAGCACTTCTGTAGTCAAATATACAACTAAATATTATTCACCGGAAAGAGAAAAAGTAATTTTATATGTTAGTGAGTATTGAAGAGTTGCCACTGCTGTTATGGTATTTCTGCTCTGGGACATGCTCCAGGGAATGGTCTCTGGCCAGCACAGCCTTCCTGCTGATGATTCAGAAAGAATCACCAATAAAGCCAAATCTGGCCCTTCTGAGCTTACCAGTATTAACAGGAGTGAGTAGCAGCTCACATCAAAACCACTTAAGCTCATGATTTTCTGCAGAAAAAGAGCTGGCAAAGTTGCACGTTAACTTGTGTAGCATGTGTCAGGAAGTTCTAGCAGATCAGGATGGAAAGAAGATTTCAGTAAAAAAAGAAAGTTCAGAGGGTGATGTCTGCCCTTTCCTATCTCAGTGTTTCCTACTTGAGTTTTGCTTCCATTGTCCATACATAGGCAAGTTAAGGGGATCAAAAAGTTAAATCTGATTGAAACCCAAATCTTAATGAATTAAATTTTCAAAGTATTGATCTTAGAGTAGGCAGTATAGCAAACTATGGTTGTACCTTTTGTTTTGCATACATCTGCTGTATCAATCACATAGGAAGGTACAGTAATTTAGAAATAATAGAAAAAAGCAATGGGTTGTTCAGTTATTTAAAATGTAGAGCAGATGAATAGAGCTCTATAATAACTAGGCATCATTATGATCCTGTCATATAATTTAATCTGCAGCAAATAAATGAATTATTTAGCTCTAAATTCTAACTTATACAATCATCTGCTGCAAAAGCAAACAAAAATGTATGCTTGGATTTGTTACTGTTGAAGGACACTAGTTAGCCTGGATTATACTGGTTTCAGTAATTAACACCAGGCGCATGTATTGAAAGCTACTGCTAGATCCTGGTCAGTAATTAAAAACCAAATAAATCTATGTGGTATCGACTTCTACATAAATTCATATAAAGAAAGGTTTTTAAGGGTTTTTTAATGAAAGTGAGAGAGATGGACTGTGTTAAGTTTCCAAGTCTGAAAAGTGAATAAAGGAATTGTCTGCTACAGCAAGTTCTTAAGTAGAACTGCTGCTGTAACACTCATTACAGAACTGTGTTATTCCTATTAAATGACTGCATCAATGGTATGTTCTTAATTTATTTCATATCTGCTGCTCCAGCTTGTCAGACAGAGATCAGTTCGGATTAGTGTGGTCTATAGGGACTGCACAAGATTAAGAGGTTTGTTTTGGCTATTGAAATCAAAATGACCTCTCCCATGCAACTCAAAGAATGTCAGACATTAATGCTGATAGATATCATTACAGCTGTCCCAGCTGATCTCTGAAGTTTACTTTTATTTCTTTAAGCTGAGTGACCACTGGCTAAGACTAATTGAAAACCCTCTTAAAAAAAGCTAAAACACCCCCAAACGAACAAATAGTAAATAAATACATAAATTAACCATAAGGGAATTCTGAGTAAAAGACATAGTCTCCTCTTGGATACCTATACAGTTAGTTGCAAATAACAAGAGAAACATTTATCTACTTCTTTTCTAAGCTTTCACACAGTAGTTTGCACACTGATCACTCATGGAGCAATAGCTGTAAGATTCTATCAGTGTTGCAGAGTAACCTTCTGTACCAATATATGTAGAGGAAGTCTTCCTTTCAGCTTCTGAGGATCTGCTTTTTGCCTGAGACTTGTCAAGAGATGTTAAAAATAGTCAGATACACAAAAATAATAAAATTTTAAATAGTAAGCATGCAATAGGACCTGAATTTAAGATTGCATGGGAGGAAGTGCAAGATTGCACAGTATCAATGCAAATGGTTTTTCAGGTTTTAAAAATCCTTTGTTATAGTCATTTGGTTTATTTAGGGTACGGGGAATAATTTTAGCTTCATCTCAGCCCCGTGGAATACAGTAAATATTTTTATGACTATATAACATGTTGTTTTTTTCCTATGTCACAGACCCATCTATCACACAACTCACTAAATTAATTGAAGGGGAACCTGAATTCAAAATAGTCAGGGAAGGGGAGACAGTAACTAAAGTGATTCATGGAGGTTGGTATGCTTTCAGCAACTCAATTTGTATTAGTTAAAATCTGAATCATTAACTATTCCCAGTCAGTTTCTAATTATGTAGGTGATGTTCTGTTAAAAACCTGTTCTGTTTTTAACAATACATTCTTGAAGCTTTGTAATGTTATTACACCATTCATTCTCACTTGTGCATTTCAAAAACTTGAAATTTTTTTGCCTAGCCTTGTCCCATAGCTACAGTCAAGACACTGTTAGAAATATCCTGCATGCTGCCATAACATGTCTCAGTTAAGAATTATTTGCTGGGTTTTGTCCTGCAATCAAAAATGTGTTATGTAATTCTGTGATAGAAAGGCAATTTTTATTACCTAAAGAGGTAAACTTTGCCTTCTGCTTTGCTAGGGACATTGAAAGTTCACATCTAGGGTTTTTTTAAAAGGAAAACAGCATCTGGCCATCCTACATTTTAAGGAAACGTAGTTCCTAGTCTTTGAACATTTTTATCTTTTGTAAAATATGCTATAGTTTTTCCTTGTGTCCTTCAGTAAGTTACAGCATCTCAAAAACAGCACTTATAACACTGTTCATTACTTGCTTAATGTCTTCGACTTAAAAATCCTTATAGAACCAATTATTAAAACATACACCAAAATCATTGATGGGCGACCTGTGGAAGTGACAGAGAAAAAAGTGACAGAAGAAAGAATTATTCAAGGTAAATTATGCCAAGTTTTTCAAACTTATTAAATTTCACCATTAGATATAAATGTAATATAACTTAAATTTGGTCCTAATGTCTAAACTGCATTTCCTGAAGAAGTCTTTTTCCCCTAGTGCTTCTCACTGCCTATGGATGGCCCAAATTCTGGCTGTGTGTGATACACACACATATACAAGAAATGGCAAGAATATTTTAACAGAATGAAAAACAATAAAAAATTGTCCTTTCTTTTTTCTTTTTCTTTTTCTTTTTCTTTTCCTTTTTCTTTTTCTTTTTCTTTTTCTTTTTCTTTTCCTTTTTCTTTTTCTTTTTCTTTTTCTTTTTCTTTTCCTTTTTCTTTTTCTTTTTCTTTTTCTTTTTCTTTTCCTTTTTCTTTTTCTTTTTCTTTTTCTTTTTCTTTTTCTTTTTCTTTTTCTACTTCTGCATGTCATCCCAAGCTTCCTTGACAGTCATTTCCAAAAAACAACTTCTCTGTTTCTTTGTAAAGAGCAGCCTTCATTGACATTTGTATTCAGCTAATATAAAATTAATGTGCATCTGTGTGCTTTGATCTTCTCCCACACTAACTTTCAAACTCTTTGACCAATTACTCTTTGGCCGAAATACTTGAAATTGGCCAATTTCAAGTATATTTGACTTAATAGATATTTCTTTAAGAATTCTAGAAACTTCACAGAAATTGAAAAGGGAAGAGGGCATATTTAAACAGTCTCAAGTTCTTTGCTAGCACATTTTGATCTGCTTGGTTAAATATCAGTCTGAATGCTGCCATTAAAATTCTGTCTACCAGAGCAGCTGTAAGGGAAAGACAGCAGTATAGGAACATGCTGACTTAGCAGGAAGTCATTCAGGCAAGAGAGAAATAAAGAATGAAACTTAAGTTATTCTCATATAACTATTTACTACAATGGAAATAACTGAATGAAAAACATTAGTGGTTTCTAGTAAAAGTGTGTATATTTTTCAACACAAGAATATAAAATGACATTTTTCAAATTCAAATTTCACTAATATCCCACATAAAATAGTCAATTTAATGTAAAATACCCGTGTTTCAGACCTAATATTTTCCTCTCTTCCTTCTGTACTAGGAACTGATAAAGAATCTCAAATATTATGATTTGAAATTATTCATAGCAGTAATAAAAGCAACATCTATTTACGACAGTGGATCCAGACTATTTTTGCACTTAGGAAATATGTAATTTATGAGCTAATGCAACAAAATGTTTAAAACTGTGACTTAATTTAAGTTTGTGAGCAGATATTTACTGTATCTTACTTACTTACTGTAAGTATGTTAAATTTGTCTAAGTACTTTCCTGAATAGATTTAGTAATCATCTAAAGATCTAGTAATCATCATTACTAAGATTTAGTAATCTTAGTAATCATCTTGCACTTTGATTTGGGAGACAGTGAAAGTAAATGATCATAAAATCAGATTAAAGAGTCTTAACTATGGAACCATCCTGACCCTGTTATATAAGATTAAAGCACTGTCTCTCACATCTTTTTTTCAGGTCCTGAAATAAAATATACCAGAATTACTGCAGGTGGTTCAGACAATGAAGAAAAGTTAAAGAAATTGCTTGAAGAAGGTTAGTATCCTTGTTTTCTTCCCTTCCTTTAAAAAAATCATTATTAAAAAATTGTATTACTTAGGTAATTACTAAATGGATGCTTCATGTTTTCAGCAAAGGTGCTCATACTGCAAAATCATACGCAGAGATTAAATCTCAGAACCTGAGAAATATCCAAATCTAGTGTTCTGGTTTGAGCCTCTGACCTTCACATTTCAGCCCTCCCCAGAGGTGATGCTGCCTGGCTTTAGTACATAATATTCTATGTTTCTCATAAAATTGTGCTTTCAGTGTTTATATGGAATTTAATATTATAACAGATTAATTTTGTAATTCAACAAAATCTATGACAGGATTAATTCAGTAATGTGCTGTTACAGAATTGTCAAATGTTTTCTGTAAATCAACTTCTTGCCATAACCTGTATTCTGTCAGAGGTTACCAAGGTGACCAAATTTATTGAAGGTGATGGTCATTTACTTGAAGATGAAGAAATCAAAAGACTCCTGCAGGGAGGTAATTCAATATACTATAACTAACGTTTTTGCAAGAGGTTATGATAACTGAAACACCTCTCAGATATGTTGATCTCAACATTTTAAAGACTGACTTAGCAGAAGTTTAATTTTAATGGCATAAAAATAGAATGCCATATATGAAGGGTCAGATGTCTGTGAAATGGAAATAAGCACCGAAATTTGATTAATATCTTCTTTATTATATTGATGATGAAAAAATATTATATTTGGTGGTTTTCAGTCTTTAAAAAGTTATCTAATTAAAACTCAGGGGAGCAATGAAGATTTATTCCTCTAACTGTGAACTTTTTTATTTTTTTCCCCCCAACAAATTTAATCTGTGAAAAGCACTTATGAAGTGGAAAGTATTGTAATAGACCAAGTTCAACTTACTTATCAGTTCTTCAGAAATGAATATTCATTGCCCTCAAGTTAACAATTCAAGGCATGTTTAGCATCCTTCTTTCAGTGCTTACAAGCAACAGGTATCAAGGCATTAACTATAATTCTCTTCAAATATAGCATTCCAAGGAATGGTTTTCTTTCCCTCTTGCTCTCTTAATTCTAACAGTTTTGGCAATATATAACCAGTAGCTGTAGAAAACTAGTAAAAGAACTTGTGCTAAAAATTAATCTTCATTTATGAATTTGGAATGTTCTCTGCTTAATGTAGTTTAGAAAAACTACATATAATAGCAATGGGGAATAAAAAAAGAGAATTCAAGTGATGTGTTTTTAGTAAATGTTAGCTTAAACCTGAGCCAGACGCTCAAAAATGTATGTTTCTCTTGGCATAAATGAATTGAATCCACTTCATCTTATGTTCAATACTTACCAAGTTATAAACCTGACCACTAGTGAAGTACCTCACAGCCAGCTGTGTGTTCAATGAACTAAATCATGTAGTTGTTCAAAAGCACTATTCTACAGTTGTGTCTTCAGTTAAGTAAAAAATATAGTGATGCTGAAAAACTGAACAGCTCTTCACTAAAAATGATCCATGCTAGTTGGTAATTGAGCTAGTTTTAGAGAAAAGCCAAGATACGGTTATGAATACCATAGACTGTGTTTATTTCTTCTGTTTTAGACATCTAAACCTTAGTTTTACAACTTTGCATACAATTTGACTGAATAAGATAGGATTTGCCTATAATCGTTGATGATAAATAGGAACTTCCAGAGGGTTTTTCATTTTATCCTGTCTTAAGTTTCCTACATATGTGAAAAGAGTTACTCTCTGGACATGCCACCTATTTTAAGCGTTGAATAATTACAAGGAACGTTGAAAGTTAAAAATGAAAGAAAGCATACCAAGAAAATCCCTCCATATACTGGACTATGTTCTATAGGTTTCAACCAACCAGTGAAGAGCAAGATCAAACATAAAATCATAGAATAGCTAGGGTCGGAAAGGACCATAAGATCATCAAGTTCCAACCCCCCCGCCATGGGAAGGGACACTTCGTACTAAACCATCTCAACCAAGGCTCTGTCCAACGTGGCCTTGAACACTGCCAGGGATGGAGCATTCACAACCTCCCTGGGCAACCCATTTCAGTGTCTCACCACCCTTACAGTAAAGAACTTCTTCCTTATATCCAATCTAAACTTCCCCTGTTTAAGTTTGAACCCACTACCCTGTGTCCTGTGACTACAGTCCCTAGTGAAGAGTCCCTCCTCAGCATCCTTATATGCCCCCTTCAGATACTGGAAGGCTGCTATGAGGTCTCCATGCAGCCTTCTCTTCTCCAGGCTGAACAGTCCCAACTTTCTCATCTGATCTTCATATGGGAGGTGCTCCAGTCCCCTGATCGTTCTCGTGGCCCTCCTCTGGACTTGTTCCAACAGTTCCATGTCCTTTTTCTGTTGAGGACACCAGAACTGCACACAATACTCCAGGTGAATTCTCACAAGAGCAGAGCAGAGGGGCAGGATCACCTCCTTCAACCTGCAGAATCTGTAGAACTCTCCAAAATTCTCGTAACAGGTCTTATGTTAGAATCTAACAATTCTAATTGTAAACAACTCCAATTACAGAGATACACAATTAAATAGACATAATGTGTACAGACACATCTCACAGGGATCCTATATGCGTATGGAAAAGACATAAGTAGTTTCTTCTTAGAAAATTTGGAAAAGACAATATTGTCTCTTGAATTCTTACTATTTTTCCTTGCTATTATATGTTAGTTTGCGTAAGCATCCTGCTTTACAATGGAACCAATAGAGAGATTTGTTTCTTGTTTTAATTTCATTTTTCTCTATCTTTTCCATTATTTATTCAGTCAGCTGCCCTTGGCTGCTATGATAATACCTTACCATGCTTTTAGCCAATAAAAGCAGATACACGTGCTGCTTTGTGGCTGTTAGTGACAATGTTTTATGGACCTCTTGTCTACATCAAAATTCTTCTGTTTTACTAAAAATTACTGAAACATTTTTCACTTAAATTTACTGAAACATTTAAATCTGACTCCAGTCACAAACAAATATATTGTTGCTGTCTAAAGTAAAAAGATGTTTTGATATGGGCTGTAACACTATAGAGTATCCAGCACCCAGCACTGCTTATTACAATTGGCAGTCTTTACTGAAACAAAGCGTTAAGCCAAGTTTTCAATGGATGACACTCAGCCCCACAGAAGGAATCACCTGTGGCAGGGCCAAGAAAAAGAGAGGGACCTTACAGCATGAAAAATACGGAGGCCTGCATACTCCTACACCCCCAAAGTGGCATTTTTTCCACTGAAGGCTCCTTATATATGGAAAAATTCTATGCCAGATTTAACTCATTTGTTTTTGATGCTTACCATAGCTGGAACTGAGTACACCAAGGTTACTAAAGTAATTGAGAGAGAGCCACAGATTATCGAGAGAGAAATCAAGAAGGTCCATCTGGAAGGTTAGTTTGTCTAAAATTCCAGTATCACCAAGACCTGTTTTGTCTGAAGTGATCACTCCAGGTGGGGTTTTATAGTATCTGTTCATAAAAATTACTTAGGTCTAAAGCCAGTATTTTAGCAAGAAGAGTTTTACAGTTGTTTTGGAAAATAATTTTTTCACTGCTATTGCACAGAAAAATGTTGAGGCTTACCTTGTGGCTAAAAGTAACTAAAACATTTGGCAAGTGTAGTAGACAAGAGAAAATGTCTAACTACAAAGCTTAGGTAAAACTTCTGAAGGAACAAGCACCATAAGAATTTCCTTGTCTCTAAGCAGCACACCCAGAAGAAGACCACGTGAGTTTTTTTTAACTTGAGTTATTTCTTGTCAGTGTTAATGTTATCTGTTCATGTGAGGGGTTCTCAGCTTGGTGAAAGGGTGTAGGGTGGAGGGAATATAATCTCTGGGGTTGAGTAAATATCTCACAGAATTCTGGGATTTCTCTACCTTTGTCCTGTTTTTAAATGAAGGAAGTTCTTGTGTTTGAAAAAGCTGAATGGTGTCAATGAACCTCTTACAGGAGCCAAATACAATTCAGTCTGGCTTTATACAAGGAATTTGTTCTTCAAGTTTAAGAAATGTATTTTTATGTGCTTCATTTGAAGTTAAGAAGTAACTTACTCACGGTTTGTTTCATATCTGTATGAATATCTTTTTCCAGCTCTGATTCTAATAAGGCAGAATAAACTATGCTGTCAGCCTTTGAACTAAATCATAGAATGGTTTGGGTTGGAAGGGACCTTAAAGATCATCTAGTTCCAACATCCCTCCCATGGTCAGGGACAGCTTCCACTTGACCAGGCTGCTCAAAGCCCCATCCAGCTCGGCCTTGCACACTGCCAAGGGTGGGGAGCCACAGCTTCTCTGGGCAACCTGTGCCAGTGACTCACTATCCTCACAGAAAAGAATTTATCCCTTATATATAATCTAAATTCCCCTTGTCCTATCCCTACGTGCCCTTGTATAAAGTCCCTGTCCAGATTTCTTGTAGGACCCCTTTAGGTACTGGAAGACTGTTATAAGGTCTTCTCAGAGCCTTCTCTTCTCCAGGCTGAACAACCCTAGCCCTCTTAGTCTTTCTTTGTAGGAAAGGTGCTCTAGATCTCTGATCATCTTCATGGTCCTCCTCTGGACACTCAAAGAGGTCCATGTCCTCTTTTGTTGGGGGTCCCAGAACTGAACACGGTAGGAAAAAATCTTATGGCTTGTGGAGAATGAAGTTAAATAAAGAGGTTTCTTAATTTTGAAGTCTATGATAAATATTGAAATTATATCATAGTGTTTGTATGATTTCAATGCTGAGTAGTACAAAGCATACAGGAAAGTCAAGTATTGCCTGAAAATGAGAAACAGATGTGACCTTCAACCATGAGGTTTATGTGAAAGCATAATTATATAGCTAGCATATAAGTGTGGAAATCATCCTTTGGATGGACCATGTTCTGTTCTTGTCAGGGCAGTGCAGAGCTTGAATATATGGGTGCAGGTACCCAGTATTTAGCATCAACTGTAATGAGGTGAAGCCAGTATTTCAGGATTCTGCATTTATATACCCTGTTTCAGGATGAAAAGACTATTGACTGCAGCTGGTTAAGCAAAAATGCAATACTTGATGGTTGTAAAGAATTAAAAATGCCTCAGTAGCATTTCTGTGACAGCTACAGAAAAATTCTCTTATGCTTGTGAAATGTTTCTCTTCCCAGTGAGGAGAAATCTGGTTTTAAAAATGTCTCAGCTTTTTGATGAGAAAGAGGAAAAAATGTCCATAGTTTCACTGAATCCGTATTTTGTAAAACACATGTATCCACTACTGGGAATGGTATGTATTCAATAGCCCTTGCTCTACTCTACACTTTAAAAGAATAGTCTGAAAAAAATTAACTGAACTCTAAATGTGGACCCAAAATGCAGTTACAAATCAAGGCCCAAACACAGATGGAAATATGGCCACCACCTTATGAGGGTTGAGTTTCAAGCACAAATAAGTCCTGAAGTAATTCCCTACATCAGACCTGGGCATCCTCTGCCAAAAGCTGAGACTGAGTCCTGGGCTGTATATTAACCTGAGCTTGTACATTGCTGGCAGTGTCAGATGGTGTTTGCTGAATGAAGAGCATGGGCAAAACATCCTGGCACCTGCGTACGTCATGTAACCAACTGTAGGAGATCAGTGCTGTGAATAATGGATTAATTCATACTGTTAAAATGTAAAAATGCTTTTGAAATGTTGCTAAGATTTGGTGCATGACAGAATTGTCGGAACGATAGTGTCACGTGACAGAAATGTGTGAATTGTATTAGAAGCATTCTTGTTTCAGGTCATCAAGTCAACATGCCAATGGGATGAGTTTTAATTAAAATGGTCTTAAAAAGAATTTCTGACTACAATATTTCTAATTTTGTAGAAGCACCTGTACGAAAAGCACAACCAACCAGGAGGACACAAGGTAAAAGCGAAACATATATTTAAATGTAATAACATGCATCAAATGTTATTCTCAGTTATGTTGATAGTCATGAGGGAAAAAAATACTCTTCAGAAAACAGCTCAAAAGGACTGAGTTGTATTTTTGCTTTATTAATAAAGAAATTTTAACATAGGGCTTCATCTTTCCTCTTTACATCTGTTTCACTAGTAAATACAGTATACACTGGAACTATATTATGTATAATTATAAGTAATACTTATCAGGTTTTTCCCATTTTTCCAAGGGGGAACAGCAAGAAGGAGGACAAGACTAGCTAACCACTAAAAGCTTTCTAAGATGGAATCCACAGAATTGCAAATTAACAGCGTGGTCTTTGAGAGGAGAAGAAACTGGTTAAAAAAAACAAAACAAACCAAACAAACAAAAAAAAAAAACAACACAACCCCCCCAAAAAACACCACCCCCCCCCAAAAAAATACAAACAAACAAACAAAAAACAAACAACCAAGCAAGATCCTTAGAAAATGACATTGTTTCAATAACAATGTAAGCTGAACCACGAATCCACAAAAAGATGTGACGCTGCAGATGCTGCCTGGTAATGCAGTACTTACAAGGAGTAGTCCATTGTTTGGTGCTTTAACTGCTCTTGATAGTAAGCACTATTCAGGGTGGGATCCTGGAACTTCTGTAGAACCAGGATTCCTTCTTTTGCTGGCTACTAAGTGTTTGCAGAATTGGATTAAAAAAGAGCAGGGAACAATATAGAATGTATTTTTTTTATATATACTATTTTTTAATATTATTTCCTCTAAATAAGAAATACAACTGAAATTAGATCCTTTCTAGAAAAAAAGATCACATCAGGGGACTTCTGGAGTAATCTAAGGAAATATGAGATATTACAATAGCACTTTTGGTTCAGTAGTATTGTATGCTTTTTATAAGTCAATGTTCATCATGTGTTTAATGTCGTAATGACACCAGTAATGTTACCTTTTCTAAACAAATAAATGTGTCTTATATTAAATGTATCCTTTTCTTTTTGTTCTGCATTGCATATCCAAATGCCTTCTAGTAATATGGCTAATGGAAGCTCTTAAAAGGAAGAAAAGCAAACATTATGAGCTTCTTGAAATGCAATTTAGATCCTGTTGACTTCTTTAAGAAAAATCATTTGCTGTGCCAATGCATGTACTGAGATTCATCAGCATCTTCCCATATTTTCCTAAATAAATTTTGATTATTAAAGTAGATTATAAAAGGGATAAATAAAATGCATGCAAATAGTTAACATGTAAAAAGATTTTACAAAAATGAGGCTACATGTTGAAAGCTTTTATATCAAAACTTGTTTTGCTAATGCCTGGTACTAATGTGGAGTTGTCTGTAAATTATGTCAATTTTATACCTCTAGTTTTGTACTCATAAAACTTCTTCGCCTTTATTAACAAAGCAAACAATTACTTATGGAGTAGAAAAATGTGTTCAAAGTGCCTTAATTCTGAAGACCACAGTTTCAGACAAGTTGTCTAGTGTGCTTTTATACTTCTGGGTTCAAAGAAATACTCAATAAAGAATTTGGCTGAACTATACTTGCTTTCTTTTGTAAATATTTATTTTTATTTGTAAGGCAAGTTCTAAATATTTTTAAGCTTTTAGTGTGGTTTTAGTTAAAAAATATGTTTTTACAGAAGCAAACTGATGCTTCCCTTTCTCACCTAACACATGCTAATGCAGTTAAACTGTATTACTTTCTTTAAACACAATTAAAAACCTTCCCTAATTCCATAATCACATACCACGAGCACTACTCCCTGAAAGGCAAAGCTATCGGGGCACTGGATTGATATGTTGCACAGTCTTACTAGGCTGTCAGACTCAGTAAGGTGATCTCAGTATGTACTATCATACTGCTTTGTTGGAAGGAGAGCTTTTAACCTTGGTTAAGAGCTAGATAACTCTTAGGGAAGAATGAGAACTCTTAAGTCTGCCTAGAGGATAAACTAAAGCTGTCATCTTCCCCTGGGTAACTTTGACCTTCATTAAATCATTAACTTTACTCTGCTTTCTTCAGTGTTGTGCCACTGTGAGCTGTCCGTCAAATAAGATTTTAATTATCTTAGGGTAGGAATATACCTGTGCTCTTTTCTCCCCTAAAAAAATAAGGAGATGGGGAAGAAAATGAAGTGGAAATGACAAATACAGTATGTACAGGAACTGGGGAGGAATCAGAAGAAGGCAATATATTAGATTAAAACCTGTCATGTGGTAGGATGTTTTTAACTTTTCAAATGGTAATAAATACGTGGAATATTAATTTTGTCATATTTTCTGATTTGATAACATTTTAGAGCCTCTCTGAGACACTAAAATACCTTTCTGTACTTCACCCTTCATTAATATAATCCAAGTGAAATGCAGCTACTCCTACATCAATACTTGTTTTCCTGACACACTCTGTCCCCTGAGCCCTTCCTTGGACACAGAATGTGTCCACCTAGCTGCACTGCACACTGACATCTCCATCACTGATGGCGTGGCGTTTTCTGTTTATCTGAACAAGAATCCTTCCACAACCCAATGTAGAAAGAAAATCAACATGTTCTTTCAATTGCTTTTCATATACTTAGTAATTTCTGTCTCAGCCCAGGCAGTCTTTAACCAAAGAGCAGAACTGGAAAACTTTTGTGAATATGACTTCTGCCCCATTATCTATTTCTCCACACCTCATAGTAATTTAAACTAATGTCATGTGATTAAACAAGGGTTAGCATACTACCAAGTCAGAATGCTTACTAATAATAGAGAACTCACTTTTCACTTTGATGTTTCCTTGTAATCTCTTGGGCATTTATAAGTAGGAATGTCCAGCTGAGCTGATGATAGTATTCTGAAAGGGCTTTATCTGCTCCCTTTTGTATCCTGTGTGAAAAACTGATGCCAAAGAATATTTAACTGAAAATGCTCCCAACTCTGTCAGTTTTGCCAGCAGTCAGTGTCACTTAAATGATCTATAAGACTACTAAATGTTGATGTTTTCTTTAAAAATAATGAAATTTTAGAATTACACATTTAATTGTTACCTTGTGATTTTATGGAAACTAGGAATTACGTCTACATGCTTTTCTTTGTGATGAAAGAGGGTGAATATTCATAATCATATTTTGACAAGTATTGAACAGAGGAGACCATGGTGAATGGTTTTCATATATTAGATAAATGAATAAAAGTAGAAGCCGCAAGGCAGAGAAATTATGGCCAATGGATATCATCATAGTAGCATCCACTGGGTTGATGGAAAAGGAACTTGAAATTGTCACAGCAATAAACTCTTTCTCAGTGTCACTGAAAGAATTCAACCACAAAGCTATAAATGGAAAGGAAGTCTTAAAGAGTAAAAAAAAAAAAACAAAACAAAATAAAATATTGCAAGGGTTGAGATTAGTGAGCGAAGGTTTCAACAGAGAAATATTTACAGATAAAGTTAAACCTGAGGTGCAGACCAATGCGTATACAAAAAATATGTCAGAGGAGAAGACTGAAAATATAAGAATCATCCTATACCCATAATTGCTATTGGAGGAAAATTAAGAGGTGGGCAAATACCTGAACTACCAGAATTAGGTCTTATTCTAGATCACTGAATAAGGGGGGGTAGGGGGGTGGTATAAAATGATAACTTCAGTCCTCTCTTTCTCTTTTTCTTATCTGCAATATGAAGTGACCAGTAAGGATGCTTGAGCACTTCTTTGGCATGGATCTATGAGGTCAAAATATTCCTCAACTGCTTCTCTGATCTTTGCAGTCATGTTAACTCTGCTTAGTTTAATACATATAAACCTAATTCCCAAATTTGCCTGCAATAAAGAACAAGACAAAATAACCAAAATCAGTTTCTCCAAAATAAAACTCTGTTTATTCTTTCTGTTAAAGGTGAAGATAATAATACATATTGTGATTTGTCCTTTCAGTATCTGAATCTCAGAACTGCTACATGTCAGTCCCAGCTGGAGGGTCTAAGTAGGGATAACAGTCTAGGCACTGATAAAATACAAGAAGACCTGATTCCTTTGAATACTGAGCTGCAGAAGTTCCTGGTATGAGAACCATGAGATGCATGGGGAGTACTCCATCTTCTTTGTAATTGGGCCTTGGGTGATGTAGAGTCTTTTTTTGAAAATCATGATGGCACAGGAATTCATGTTCAATTATTAAAGAAATGTTTTCCTCTGTGTTTCTTCCACATAAACCACAATCATGAAGATACTAAAAGCTTACCTTCTCCTTTGTGTCACTTTTCTCCAAATGTGTTTTTACGGCATTTCAAGAAAATGGAAGTATGAAAGTATAAACACTTGTCAAAATTTGCCAAAAGTTGATTTTTTCAGTATAGCAATAATCTGGTTTTGACATACACAAAAAAAATCACTTTAATAGATTTGCATTTTTTTAACCAGCATTAATTAAAAATTCAGTGACGTATGAGTTTCATGTTCAACTGCTAGCACAGAAGAGGAAATATTAGCTACAGATTCTAGATGGGGGGGAGGATACTACTAATTAGTAAGAAATCAAGATGACACTATGTCATCAGGAGCCCAGCACATTATCTGTTGAAAAGCAGCAGTACTTTTTGTTCAAAACACTTTTTCAGTCTCCTTTACAGCCATAGAAATCTATTCCTAATGTCATACTAGATTAAAATGCTCCTTTTCTTGCTGCTTTAACTGTCATCTTTTAAATACCACAGAGCTCAACCTTTCATCTACAGATTTCTTCTTGTTGAACAGAAGTAACCTCTCTGATGGAACTTGCAACTCAGAGGAATGGAATCAGCAATTATACTTTGGATCATAAAGTTCTCCCATTCTCATGTGCTGGGTTTTGCATTCTTGCATCACTTACTGATCTCATGCACTTCTTTCCTGCTCAGACTTCTTCACTTCTGATTTTAATTCCCATATGTATACTGCTAAATAAAACAGAACTAGAGACTCTGCTTGTGTATTTAGATCCAGTGGCACATACAGTCTGCATCCACACTACACAACAGTTTGTCCTCAGCTTCTTTTATCATCTGGTGCCCATGTGGCTCAATTTTCTTGGCAAGGGATGGGGAACATGTTTTTTTTTTTTTTTTGCTTTCACTGCTATAAAGTATGTGTGAAATAACATGGTGCTTATGAGGATGCCGCTTTAATGTGACACGGAAGTTTTGCATTGCATGCACTGTGATAAAGTGTGCAGGGGTTAACTGCCTGCAGGGTTGGAAGAAGAGAGAAAGCAAAATCTTTGCAGCCTTGTCTATGCTGTCTGTTGGAACATTTCCTGAAATCTGTTGTTCACAGACTAGTGCATGAGATGATTCGCTCAAAAACTGCAAGCTGGCATGGGCCAAAACCATTCTGTGGAAGGCATAGCAGAATACTGTGTCCAGTGT